TCCGCTAAAAAAACCCAAATTATTACAGCCTAGTTAACTATAATCCAAAATTATTACAACCTAACTAATTATAATATTATATACTGAAATTATAATTATTAGTTTACAGTTTATAATTATTTTATTAGATAAACAAAATAACAAATTAAAAATATTTTATAATATTATCTAATTTAAAATGTATTACTGACAACTGTAAGAAAAATAATACATTACATGATTTATAATGTAAAAATTAATAAATAAAATAAAAGATTTGGTTATCAATGTAAAAATTAATAAAATGCATACAAATTTTGGAAATAACACTTTAATTTATTATATGCCCAAGAGGGAACAAAAATTAACTCAAGAAGGGATAAACTATTATATGGCCCAAGGGGGGATTCGAACTTGAGAAGTCAAAGCAAATAACATTAGTGATAACCATCATGCCTCCTTAGCATATATTTTTAAAATTGCCTATTAATACCATATATTTACATTCTGTTTTCATTTAATGATGTTTGGGAATTATCCCACATCGAAGGATGAGTATTCAAATATGCTATATAAATAACTATGTAATTGGAAGATAAACACAAGTGTGAAAACACTAGGGCATCCGTGCACATGCAGATTGGGCTGGGTGTTCTGCAATGCAGATTGGGCTGGATGTTCTCTTGTACGACGATCTACAAATGGCTACTATATGACAGTGGGTGGTAATTTAGTCACCTAGAGCAGTAAGAAGCAGAGTGTGGTAGCTTAGTAGCTCGATCTTCAGCAGAAGCCAAGTATCAAGCGATGGCAAGTGCTAAATGTGAAATAATTTGGCTTTGTTCTCTTCTTCAAGATATGAGTATTAATGTATCCGCTCGTATTCCTCTACATTGTGATAATCAAACTGCAACTTATATTGCTTCAAATCCTGTATTTCATGAAAGAACCCAAGTACATTGAAGTGGATTGTCACTTCGTCAGAGAAAAGGTCGCTTCATAGATAACATGTACTCCATTTGTTCGATCTGATAATCAATTGGCAGACATGCTTACTAACGCCTTGAATCGAGTTTGACTAAATGATATTTTGGACTAGCTAGGCATCTATAATATATATGCTCCAGCTTGAGGGGGAGTGTAGAGACTACTATGGGGCCCATGCCCATTAAGCCTACAATAATTATTATGGATTCTTGTTGTAATAATCATGCATTTCTTGTTGTAACAGTCATATAACTGTCATGCATAATGGTTGCAACTCCTATGCATGTCCCACAAGGATTGTGTATATAAACAGGGCACATTGTCCCAAGATTTGTAGAGAGTGAGAAAAAACATATATTTTCTGTCTTGTGCTTGAATATTACTCCCTCTCTCTTATCTCACAATCTTAACAAAAACAATAGTTCGACTCAAATGTACTCAATAAAATTGAATAGAATGGTATTTAGGATAGATGCTCATTGCACACTTTAATACTTGATGTAGGAAAACCTAAACCAAATTGCAAACAGCCTTGAAGTTGTCTAAATCACCACTGGAATTGAAAGCCAAGACCATGGTTCAGGCTTTTCAGACCTAGTTCCATCAAGTTTGCATCTGCCTCAACCTATCACCCCACTAGATAAAGAACTTACCTATTAGAACACCTTTGATGAACACCTCATAATCAACTAATAACTAAATCATGTTGGTGCTAATATTAGATCCATTCTATTGGAGCTCATGTATTTTTGCAAAAAGGAACTCTGGATTTTATGCCCATCACTAGGTTCTAGTTTGCTGTAGGACTCCAAAGAACTTGGGTCATTAGGAATAACATAAAATCTTCACTCAGAGTACATTTTTGGTTTGGGTTGATAATTTCCTAAAATCTACTTTTCTGCCAATCTTTTCATGTTACTTTCTCTGAAAAGGAAGACACAACAGCCCTAATGTTGTACCAATTTCTGTAATAAAAAATCAGCAGACAGATTTGTTGTCAATCAATTGCTAGTGTGAAACCAACTCAAATATATTTATTGAAATTTCTGAAAATAAATGTAAAACAATACCTTTATACCTAATACCTTACTGAAAGGTGATGCTCAGAGCTCGGAAAAATTGTAAATCACCTTCCAAGTAATAAAACACCAAAACTCCACGCGAGCTGTAAAACCCACAACTTAGTGCTATGATGCCACGTTGGAAATCGACATGGCCTTGTCAATACAACTCCTTGCTCTTGCTAACTTTCTCTCACTAAAATAGGCCATTCCCAAGGAATTGGTCCACATCTTCAATTTGCTAATAGCAAACTTGCGAAAAGCTGAAGCTTCTAAACAAAAAACAAAGCATACTAAATCTGCATCTAGAAAATAGAGAGCCAGAAGAGGATGACAAGGGAAATGGACAATTCATCTCATAAACGATGCAAGACGGAGAGGAGAATTGCTTTATGATTTTAGGATGTGATAGTTTGGTTTTCAATCCTTTTCTATTTTTTCCTTATAGTGAGTTGGGAAATCGTTCAGCTTCTAAACGTTCTTTTTGATGGTTTGAGGACGAAACAGACTCAATTTGGACAAACTGATTTGTTGGAGAAGCAAATGTAAGCATTAGTAACATCTACGATCACTAAAAGTGGAACACCTGCTTGTAAGGAAGAAATCGCCATCAGGTAGTGAAATTGACAACCAAGATTATTTTTGGGAGCCTCATACAAATTAAATTTACCCAAAACTGGTTTAATTTCAGCCATATAATTTCTAAATTCAAAAATTGCAAATGGTTTCCAATTTGAAATTGAAATTCCTCCAGTCATATCAATTTTAATTCTTTTTTCTTTTATAATTCAAAATTTAGTTGTTGGCCCCAGGTCCCAACCAAATTGAGACGAAAATTCTAAATTTAAATCTATGCGGATTCAGTACCATATTACTGCAAGTCATGAATCACACGTAAATTCACACTGTCATTATCCAAGAGAGAGAGAGAGAAAAGAGTGACTATCTAACATTCTCACCGTTAATTTGCTTATTTTCCATTGTTGCCAATATCCGACCGTTACAATCATGGTTGGGTAAAGACTCCATCAGAGAGAGAGAGAGGGGGCAAATATTATTACCTGTGTGGTGAGAACACCATTAATTTGACTCGCAACTCCCTGAACTGCTCTCCATAGAGAATACTCCAGGTAATCACTGCTAACACTCGCAGGATACCCCTCAGGCAACATCAATCGAACAGCAAGCTCTCGGCACCATAACCATGAACTCCCCAGAATTTTCCCCAAATCCAAAACACCAGAAGACAACAATCGAAGGGCATTGTCAGCAAAGAGCTCATCCTTCGAGGAATCAGCATAAACAGGACTCCATTTCCCTCCCTTCACCTCCCATGCAACCACCTCTCCTGGCTTAGAAGCTAAACTGAAAAGGTTATTAGGGAAGAGAGAGAAAGAGAGAAGTAAACAAAAGGAGGTATTAGGTATTCCATTGTTGTCATCAGACCAGGAGTCGCCATAATTGTTGTTGTTGTTTGAGCCATTGTTGTTGTTGTTGTTTGAGCCATGATGAGAGAGAAATAGAGACGAGGATGAGAGAGAAGAGGCAAAGAGACGTGCGGAAACAAAGGGAGGAGCGGTGTGTTGTTGCTGTCCTGATGCAGCACAAGTAGAGAGAGAAGGTGGAGGAGACGGAAGCCCGCCGGAAATGGAGGCCATTTTTCGCTTGAATGCAAAGAAGCCGGCCGTTACTCAAAAGTAGCTTCTCTCTCTCTTCCCTAACGCCGTCCCCGACCCAAAATCCATCTTCGCGTACCAATCGACGTCACCAGTATGCCTACATTTTCTGCCGTGCGTCCATGACAAACAGTCCCGGATGCTTTGCCCAATATTAAAAAGAAAAAGTTTATATATCATAAAAGGTGGAATTAAAATTGCAACTAAAAAATCCACCGGAAAAGGTCAAATATGAAAAAAAGTAAAAAAAAGATTTTCAGTCCTAGAACTAGTGCGCCTTGCAACACATTATCTACTCTGTTTTTTGTTTTTGAACATTAACACAGTATCTATATTGTCCATTTTCAAGTTTTTCATATGTTTATAGATCTACTTGATTTTAATTATTTTTTAAGTTTAAAATTTTATAATTAAATATGAAAATATATTTTGAAATAATTGTAAGAATTTTTTATACGAAAATTACGTGTTATGATAAAATTTGGAGGTGTGCCTTAGTTGGATTGTTTAAGGTTGCACCCCTATAGAAACCACACCCAAATTAAAATGATTCATTTGTGCTCAAAATTTGCTCAAATTTTGCGTGAGGATGATATGCGAACTAATTAAATTGGATGGTGACGAATGATCCACAGACATGGTTTAAGGATATGTTATATGACTCCTCGTCGTTATCATCATCATCATCATATACTTTTTTCAGGTCAGCTACTCAACTACTGGTTTCCCATTCTGTTCTATCAAGGGTTATGTCGTTAATGAGGCCGCAAGTCTCCGTTTCTTTTCTCACTACTTCCAACCATATCCTTTTGGGCCTACCCTTTACCTTTTTTTTTAGCTTTCTACTTGAATCAACTTGCACCACCAACATTCGTACTCTTTGTTAGTAAACTGAAAGGAGATCGCAGTTCCCACAGAACCTTCTGCTCCTTCTTGCACCATCTAATAGCATTTAGAGAATCCCCTTCAATCAGGCAGTTCGTACCAGTTTTCTCCCCATGAAAATTTCCACACCCCTTTAACAAAGCAATTAGTTCAACACAATTGGCCGTAGCAACACCAATTGGGCCAACAGATGTAAACATAACACTTCAAAACAGTCTCTTACAACACCACCAATACTTGCTGAGCCAGGATTTCCAATGGAGCTATCATCAAAGTTTAATTTAAAACGCCCATAGGCAGAGGACACCACAAGCCCTTAGGCTTACGAGAATTCAAACCCAGAAAGAAAAGGTTATGCAAGTTTATCATAACATCAACCTTAGTAATACCCCACCCATCCTTGAACACAGAAAGAAAAGACCAGATAAAGAGCTTGATTAAATGTATCAATTTATCAACAGGCAACGCCATACCCTCAAAAGTCCTTCTATTTCTCTCTTTCAATACTTATCAAAATATCACTCATTTTGCTATCTTCCAAATCGTACTTCTAATCTTGGGAAGAAACGGTATCCCAAATTGCAAGACTATCCCTTAAAAGAAAGACCTATGTGATATTTTCTTGGGGAAATATATATATATATATATATATATATTGTTTTTTTTTTTAATCATTCCTTTTTGTTTTGCAAAAGATTACTTACAAGTGGCCTTATTAGAACAACATATACTTCAAAATAAAATCAACATGGCAATAAAACCAAGATCTTAAAACTTGATGCCATTGAAATAACTATGCACTATGCTTGAGAATAAAAAAATATAAGATTGCAAGAAATAAAAGAGAAGAGTGCCAAATATTACCTCAACCGAGCTTATTACACCCCATACCGAGTCACCACCATCCGATGGTGCGGGATCAATGATCAACCTTCAATCTCAAACCGAGAAAACAAGTTTAGGTCAAGTCACACTAATAGAACATGAACCCCTTTGATCACAAACTCAAACCCTAAGTGAATTCCTTTAGCTACCTAGTTTGAGAGAGATGGATTCTCTTTTTGCTAACACTAAAAACCCTTAGTCATAAATCCACAATTGAGAGATATGAGAGAGAAGAACTCCATAGCCTAATCCCTTAGCCCCTTTCCACAATGTGGGAGAGAAAGAGATCAAACATGAGGGAGCTAGAAAGATAAGGTATCGAGATTTTGGGCAGAGACAATTCATTTTTTATAGGCTTGAGTAAGATTAGGGTTTCTTAGGGTTCTTCTTGACTTATCTCTTCTTTTGATATTGAACATGAATCATTGATCTTGGGTGACTTGTGGGGCGAGAGATCTGAGCCATCCATTCCATAGATGGGCTATCAACATTATGGAAGGTGCATGAACCCTTATTCCCATTTTCTAAACAATTTTCCCATCAATAGAAAATAAGTTAAATTAATTTTAATTAAATATCGTGCATTCCATAAAATAGCATATATGTACACATATTTTTCATAAAATCTATAAAAAGTCAATATCAACTTCCATATTAGGTCAATATATAATCAACACATACTCAATCCATAATTTGACCACATGTCACAATTTAAAGTTACCAAAACATAAAGGTCACATGGACCACAAAACAAAACTTTCCATAAAACAGAAAGTAGTAAGAAGTGGGGTGTGCCACCCATAGGAGGCACATGTGGGCCCCACCTTCTATAAACATGGTGGGCCCATGTGCACAATGGGCCCCCATGATTATTATTTTTTATGCATTTAAAATTAACAAAATAATTTCTAGTGAATATTAAAACATTGTAAAACCAATATCTTTAATTTTATAAATCCAAAAATTATAAATAAAATATCTAAAGGTTCATAAAAATTAAAATAATAATTCTAAAACAATCATTATCTTAAAACAAATACAATTAAATTAATTTGATGAGAAATAGATCCATATGGTTTAGGAATTGAATCAACAATTATGGGGCACTCCACCTTTAACTGTAGACTACGGACCACATTTGCTTTATCACACCGACCCAGTGTTTCTCATGACCTATAGTCCAAGCAGGGACTCATTAGTGGGTCACCAAAGTTTGGCCGAAGAGCCAAGGGGTCACAATCTCAGTCTGTGGATTACAGGTCCTCCCCTAGCGACGAGTCTAGGTCAGTAAGACTTAATGCGACCACAGCTCTATGGTGCATAGGGGGATCTCTCACACATGCATACGCTTCACCCTAAAAGGTGGATTTTTAGATTTCCCGAACAATCTATCGATATGCATGTCGTGTGCTGGCACATGAATGAGGTTTTGACCCCCATCTTTGTAGACCACCATCACATACAACGGTAATACAATCCCTCGGCTCACTCATCCGGGCATGATCTCCGACCTCAACAAGGGCTAACCCATGAACCCTCCTTAGTTTCTTCTTCATGCCCAAGTAACATAGGTTTTTCCCAATCGACTGGCTTAGATCATCAAGCATAGTCCGACATCTGCAAACATTGTTTGCATGGTATAGTCCACAAGAGACCACACTCCCAATAAGTTCATGTTCTACTATATCATTTCATTTTACAAGAACTCATAAGGCCTTTAAAGGCCACAAAAACCCAATAATCCCAACCACCCTACGAGGCAACACTAACAAAACTCCTACTTCCCCAATTAACCAATGCCATATCCTCAAAGTATAGGGACAATGAATCAATAGATGATCAACTGATTCACCATCTAGTATGCATTGCAAATAGACATTAGGTAGAATGTTACCCCTTTTTTGCAAATTATCAATGGATAAAAGTTTATCCTACGAACCTAACCAAATGAAGACTTAGATTTTATGGGGAATTGGCCACTTCCAAATTTCACAATATTGAGGGAAGACCATTTCCATCGGTCATGGAAGAAAAGATTATAACAGGATTTAACAAAGAACATACTGTCACGTTCAATTTCCCATACCAAAATATTTTCTGCCTCTTGAGAAATATTAACTTTATCCAGAAGTTCCATCAATGAGCACCATTGGGACAACACACATTGTTCAATCGCCTATACATAAGGGGTATGTCTCACGAAAATCGTTGACCTCTCCTGTCAACTGCCTCACAAATTTTTAGATTTAGGCTTGAAACAACTCGAAATACTTCAGGGACAACAGATTTCAGTGGATAATCCCCAAGCCATTTATGGTGCCAAAACAAAATCTGACTACCATAACCCACATTCCATCTAAAATAGCCTGAGATCACCGTCTTACAATTTGAAATGCCCTGCCACATATAAGACACCTCCTTCCCTCTACCACCCCCAAGCCACATGTTATACTTATCCATCATGTACTTTGACCACAGAACTTGATACCAGAGATGATCCTTCAATTGGAAGCTACACCACCACCATTTGTATAATGATGCCTGGCTAAACTTCCTAACATTTCGGATTCCCAAACCACCTTCATGCTTGGGTGTACGTACTCTGTCCCACCTTAATAACTAGTATTTTCTGCTCTCTCCACTCGAACCCCATAAGAAGTCTTTCATCGTCTTCTCAATTCTTTTCCCAACTGAGGCTGGAATATAGATGATGGACATTTGATACAAATGAAGGTTCGTCAGGCATGATCTTAGCAACGTCACCCTTCCCCCTAGAGACAAATATGTAAATTTCCAAAGATCAAGCTTGACGTACACCCTCTCAAGCACCCTATCCCAAACTGCAATAGAAAACTTAAAATCAGAAATCGGTAACCCCAGATAGGTAATAAGGATAGAATCAACTTTACAACCCATCACATTAGCCAAATCACACACCATTACCTCGCTACAGTTAATACCCACCATAGAAGACTTATGAAAATTAGCTTTGAGTCCCAATGTCACTTTGCAAATTTCCAAAAATCTCACCACATTCCTTACTTGTACTGTCCCAGCATCAATAAAAATTAACGTATCATCAGCATACTGTAAATGAGAGATAAATATATCTGATTTTGCAATTTGAAACCCTTAAAAGCCCCCATACTCTCCACCCTGCTTAACATTTGACTAAAGCATTCAGCATAAATGGTGAATAAGAAAGGAGAGAGGGGCTCACCTTGATGAATACCTCTAGCCGCATTAAAAAATCCAATCGGGCTGCCTTTGAAAAGTACTGAGAAATGTGCAGAAAAAAGGCATCCAAATATCCAACTTCTCCATCGAGCTCAAAACCCCATCATTATCAATATCTCTAGC